GAGACATATAAAATCATGCAGGGGATGGATAAAGGGAATAGAGGGAAGCTGATTTCCCTCGCATGCTATACCAGAACCAGGGAACATCCACTCAAATGGAGTGCTGGGAGAGTGAGAACAGACAAAAGAAAATATCTCTTGACCCCGTGTGTTGTTAGTCTGTGGAACTCCTTGCCACAGGATGGGGTGATGGCGTCTCACCTAGATGCCTTTAAAAGGGGATTGGACAGATTTCTGGATGAAAAGTCCATCACAGGTTACAAGTCATGATGGGGATGTATAATTTCCAGGCTTAGAAGGAAGGTACTTCAAAATGCCAAATGCAGGGGAAGGGGTATCAGGAGATTTGAAACAAAAAGTATTCATCTAGGACAATGGTTCTCAACCATGGGTCTCAAGTTGTTCTTGGACACTCTCAGAATTCTTCAACACTAGCTACGCTGACCAGGATTTCTGAGAGTTGTAGTCACTCTCAGAATTGTTCAACACTAGCTACACTGACCAGGATTTCTGAGAGTTGTAGTCAAACAACATCTGGGGACCCAAGGTTGGGAACCACTGATCTAGGCAAACCTCCTAATAAAAGCACCAATCTTGTAGCACCTTAAAGCATGGAAAGAAAACATTTGGTGGCCCTCCAGATGTTGTTAGATTACCATTTATTTATTTATTTATTTATTTACACACACACACACATCTAATAGCCAAGGCCACTCTAGGTGGTTTCCATCATAATTCACCCTTGGCTATGATGGCTACAGTTGATGAGTGTTCCAGAGGGAAAGCATCCAGAAGATCACATGTTCCCCTCTTTTTGCCTGAAAAACAAGCACATTTATTTTGGACCAAAATCCACTCCATCATTTGCCTCCATTATACTGCTAAATTGACTGCCATTGCTCTAACATCAATCCTAGAAGTGGCACAAAAGATGTAAAAAAAACAAACCCAACAACCCTGGAACAGATAGAAAAAACAGCAGTGCTGTGCCACATTTTGCCAAAATGAGCTCATAAAAGCTTTGGATGTGGCAGTTCAACTATTTTCCAGTCGGTCCCTGGGGACTGCAGGTCCCATAAGCTAATATATATACAGTGGTGCCTCGCTTAGCAACGTTAATCCATTCTGGAAAAAATGTTGCTAAGCGATTTCATCGCTAAGCGATTTTAAAAAGCCCATAGAAACGCATTAAAACACGTTTAATGCGTTCCTATGGGCTTAAAAACTCACCTTATGCAAAAATCCTCCATAGCGCTGCCATTTTTGGTGCCTCTAGAGTGAGGCAAAACAGCGGGCGGCCATTTTGTTTACCCGGTGGCCATTTTGAAAACGCCGATCAGCTGGCCGAAAATGGGGGCTTTGCGCTGATCGCTTCCCTGCGATCATCGCAAAGTGAATTTTCCCCACAGGGACTATTGCAAAGTGATCGCTTTTGTGATGGCAAAAAGTCCATCGCTAAGCAATTTTGTCGCTCAACGGAGCGATCGCTACGCGAGGCACCACTGTACCTATACATGCCCAGGGGTTAAAAAGGTTACTGTTTCAAACTATGGGATTCTGGAATTTGTAGTCCAAAAAGTAACCTTTCTAAGTTGTTATGCATATCTAAGGAATCTTCTGAATATATAGAAACCACTACAGTTTGGAGACAGATATGCCAGAAAAATACAGATTTTCAGTGCCTATGACAACGGAATACTACAGGTAGAGAGCTCTGAAGATTTTTTGATCTGTAGGGCATGAAGGAGAAAAGGGTCACCCTCAGAGCCTTGAGAGTCATATTTCAAGAAGCCCTGTTATGACCTTAACCCTTGGTCAATTTGTGTCATTTTAGGGATGTTGATCTAGAAAGAGATGGTCTCCTAACATTTGTTTATTGAGCTTATATGATGCCCATTTAGACATAGTCTACTCTGGGAGGCTCACAAAACACAGAATAAAACCAATTAATATGAAATATCAATTTCCAACATTTACACAAAACAGAGTAGATAAAGATGGAGAGAGAAAGTTACGTAGTGCCCGGAGGGAAGGCCTGTCTATATAACCAGGTCTTGAGTTGGTTTTTGAAAATGCTTAATGAGGGGGCCAGACGAATCTCGGGGGGGGCGTGTTCCAGAGCCTGGGAGCCACTGCCGAGAAGGCCCAGTGTCTTGTTTTTTCTTTCCGGGCCTGTCATTTCTAAGACATAATATAAACAGTAGAGAAAGTTGGAATTCCAAAAGGAAGCTCTTTAGAAATTAACCATTGAGAGTTGTGTACAGGAATTTTTAAAGCTCCTGTGAATTATATTACTGTATTTGATGAACATTTTGTTCTATGTTCGTATTGCACGTTTCCATTTCCCCCTGATTTTTAAAACTCACAAGCTGCTAATTCCTCTTTTTGGCCAAGTGTTTTTATTTTACGACAACTTATGCATGGTAACGTCTTCCAAATGTCCTTTAAACTTTTAGAATGAAAAAGGTTTACTTTGTGAATAAATATTTGAGTTTTTCCTTGAAAAAAACCTCCACACACAGCTCACACACACTTGAATATGTATATACACAACTTGCTGACCTTTGGATTACTGATTTGAGAGTTGCTATTATGACCACACTTGTCGAAATATTTGAATTTAACTGATTTGTTACATAAACGAATGGATTGCAATCCTACTTTTTGTGTTTACCCAGGTACATTATAGGAGACACTTTCTCATCTCTGAATGCTTCTAAATTGGTAACCTGCCTTTCAGCCTTACATTCCCTATATGTTGGGGTTTATTCCTATAAAATAAAAGAATAAATACTGAAAGTTCACACCAAGGTGGAAAAAATATGAAGTAATTCCAATTTGTTGAGTTTTCCTTCCAAATATTATACTGTAAGAAAACTAGTATAATATTTAAAAAACCTGGAAATAAAGATAGTTTTTGAGTTAGCCAACTACAAATAAACTGGTTTAACTGTCAGTGGATTTTTCCCTATCAAATCTGGTGTGTTTTAATTTAGCTGTGTAGTCCTTGCTATAAACAACAAATTTTACTGTGGGACTTTAAAAACTAAGACAGTTTATTTTGAGTAAGTTTTCATGAATTGTAGCCATGCAGCAATTCTAAATGTGACATCCTGCAAGCACAATCTTATGCACACTTAGCAAAACCATTTCCAACTTTCATGCACAGGCCTTGCTCCTCAGTCAGTCTTGGACATTTAGAAGCCCAAAACAAAAGGAACTAGTACATCCACGGAAGTCCAGATGATAAATGAGAGATGAAGTCTGAGGATGTAGAAATTAGAATCAAGTTCTTTATTCTGTATTCTTTAAATGGGTAGTTAAAAAGCTCTGGCTGAACACATTTTGGCGAAGCCTTCTTAAGGAGCTAAGCATAATACAAAACCACATGTTAGATATCAAATCATTCACATTTTCTTTTGAAATATATATATATATACACCTGGCTTGGGACTCTCATATATTCTGTATAATATGTTTTATCATGCCTAATGTGCTCAGTATAAATGTATGTATTTAGGTACAGTTGAGAGTCCCAAGCCAGGTGTATATATATATATATTTCAAAAGAAAATGTGAATGATTTGATATCTAACATGTGGTTTTGTATTATGCTTAGCTCCTGAAGAAGGCTTTGTTGAAACACGTTGAGCCAGAGCTTTTTAACTACCCATTTAAATAATGCAGAATAAAGAACTTGATTCTAATTTCTACATCCTCAGACTTTGTCTCTCATTTATAATCTGGACATTTAGGAGCCCAGCCTTAGTCATACTCTTTGTTGGCTCTTAAAACTTATAGTTGTGCTTCTATGTATACTATTTTTCTGAAACAATATTTAGAAAACAAAGACTTAATGGACTATTGCAGGCAGAATACAATATTCTGATTATATTCTGTTTATATTCTTACATTAATATCCTATTATCATTATATTTATATTACAATATTAATAACTTAAGATTGCTATCCTGTCTACAGAGATTTGTTTGCAATGGCAGCTTTAATCTGAATTTAGAACTAGAATCTTTTAATTCATGATCATCAAGTGTTCACTGTATAAATAATGTTTCCTTTGTTAAAGGAGCAGGCTACCATTTCCAGAGCACTGGGTGCAAATCAAGTGGATACATCACCCAGGAGACATCAAGAGTTTCTGTTTGATATCGGGCTATAATGCAGTTTGTTCAGTGCATCTGAAATGATCTGAGCGTTACGTCAGTGGATGTATCTGTCCAATTTCAAATGTCCAATTTTTTAAAAAGGCAAACTCCTCTATGTGGCCAAAGATTGTCTCCTTAAAGGTTTAAATAAAAAAGAAAAAGGAGAGGGAGAAAGATTTGAGGCTTGCCAATGAAGTGTTCTTCCACTCCTTGCAAAAAGAAAGGAAGTGTCGTAACATTTGGGGATTTAGAACAGGCATTCTCTACGGGGGCTGAGTGGTTTCAAATGGCTGATTTTGAAGAATCATACACAATAGTTTGAAGCAGCAAGTCCAAATTTATTTGGCAAACAGCAGTACTGGCAGAACACATGCAGCTATGATTGTTTCACAGCTGTTTGGCTGAGGAGGTGAAGGGAAGAGGGTAGAAGTAGCATTTATTTTAGCTTGTATTAAATTGCCTGGCTGGTTTCTGAAACAAAGTTCCGCATTTAAAACTCTAGCTCTCAACTATCCCTGCCCTTCCTGCAGCGCCCAGGGTATCCTGACCAGTTGCTCAGACATTTCCAGCTAATACTGTTTGACACTTCAGCCTTGAAGTGAATGAAACTGCACTGTATGCTATAAAATGCATTAAGCTTCATTGAGCGGCAGCACTGTTTTAATGTTGATTTTCTAACTAGGTGTGGGGGTGCTAATTTTGCTCCCCAGCTCACATAGACAATAGCTTCTACTCTTTTAGGGTTTCGATCTCCTTTTTCATATCACCTCTCCCAACACCCTGATGGAGTAAGCAACGTGCAGGCATCTGTGCATCTTAGAAAACATTCCTTTATACTACATTTAGAATAAATCCATGCTTTTATTGTTCTTAGGTTTTTCATTACAGAAGAGGTTTGGTGATAAGTGTGCTTCTCTGCTTTGGTTTATTCCAGTATTCTTCCAGAGATATGTTGCCGGCATTCTCCAAATTCATGCTTGTCTCATACTCCAGGAAACACTGCAATTTGTCTTTTCAGAAGTCTAGGAAAAGAGGAGAAGAAAGTGAAAGAAAGAATCTTAAGAATTCATGGAGAAAGACAATGTTGGCTCTCTTTTTTAAAAAGATATCAGCCTGCAAATTATCTGTAATATTACTATGTTAGAATTATTTTGCCTGAAGGACAAATAAAGGAAACCATTTAACCATTCAATATGATATAGTGCGTTGTTGTTGTTTAGTTGTTAAGTCGCGTCCGACTCTTCGTGACCCAATGGACCAGAGCACTCCTGTCTTCCACTGCCTCCCGGAGTCAGGTCAAATTCATGTTGGTAGCTTTGATGACACTGTCCAACCATCTCGTCCTCTGTTGTCCCCTTCTCCTCTTGCCTTCACACTTTCCCAACATCAGGGTCTTTTCCAGGAAGTTTTCTCTTCTCATGAGATAGCTAGAGTATTGGAGCCTCAGCTTCAGGATCTGTCCTTCCAGTGAGCACTCAGGTTTGATTTCATTCAGAACGGATAGGTTTGATCTCCTTGCAGTCCAGGGGACTCCCAAGAGTCTCCTCCGGCACCACAATTCAAAAGCATCAATTCTTTGGCGGGCAGCCTTCTTTATGGTCCAGCTCTCACTTCCATACATTGCTGCTGGAAAAACCATAGCTTTGACTATGATATACTGTGGTTTCACATAATACAGACTACCAGTCTATACATATGGAATGGTGCTTTATCTGTTAAGTTTGATCATGGAATAAAATTATTATATTTGTAATATTTTGTATTATGCCAGTGTGCCAATGCTAACTTCCTACACTGAACAAGTTTGTGACTTCAGCAGTTCTCAACCAATACCATGTTTGAAGGATACATGTAAGCGTATGAATAGATGAATTCATTACAATGATCAATGTTGCAGAGAGGAGTGATAATACCAACTAAGGCTCAGTTCTACATGTTTTCTTCATCATAGATTCCTTTGCAGAAGTAGAGAGAGGAATGGTTCATATCAATGTATCCTTCCAGTAAAAGTCTTAACTGTCATTTGGGTGTATGGAAGTGCATTTGTGTTTGTCCTGTTTGTTGTCATTGTTTACAAGCTGTGGGCAGATGGTGCAGCAGCAAATTGGAACCAACAAATAAATTCATGTTTATCCTCTGATTTAGCTGTCACACTGCAGGTTGTACAGACTGAGTAATATTTCTCCTAGAGACACCGCATCCGGATTTAATACTAATTACAGGGGTATAAACTCTCCGTCATTTCACCTTTGCAGGTAAGGAGCTGCAAAAGACCTTTGGCTGCTCTTAATTTAATCGTCGCAGTTGTGAGGATGATATGTGAAAAACTAGGATGACTACTACTTATACATTCTTAAAAATCAAGGAATGAGCTAGCTGGACAGCTCCGTGGTTTACTTATCTGGGTGAGGAGCCAGAGGTTGGGAGTTCCATTCCCCACTGTGCATCCCAGTAGACCTAGCTCATGGGGCCTTGGGCAAGATGTACAGTCCCAGGATGCCCTCAGAGAACCACTTCTGAGTATTCTTTAACCAAGAAACCCTGAAAAGGTTTGCTATAAATTACAATTAACTTCACAGCACCTTGTTATTATTATTAAGTTTTTGATGAGTTATTTGTTGCCTTCTGATCAGCCAGTCCTTTTGTGCTTGCTTGTGTGTATGTGCTTGAGTTACTTGCTTCTCAAGGGGGAAAAGATGGCAGTTTTGTACATTTTAGGCTAATTATTGTTATGTTCTATCAAGTTATTTCTAAGTTTTAGTGATCTTAATTGGGTTTTCAAGATGTATGAGATGTTCAAGGAGTGGTTCATCTTTGCCACCAGTTGAGTTTCCATGACCAAGCAGGGATTTGAACACAGTTCTCCTGACTCACAGTCTGATGTTCTATCCACTACACCAGTGGTTCTTAACGTGGGCGATAATGCCCCCCAGTGGGCGATTTCATTTTTCAGGGGGGCGGTAGAACGAAAAGGGGCGTTGGTTGTTTGTTCATGCTATGGTAGACTCTGGCGCGGATCGCTGTTTCATCGACACCACTTTTGTGAAACGGATCCCTGTACAAGATAAAGAGATCCCGACCCTAGTCGAATCCATAGATGGCCGTCTCCTTCGCTCCAGTCCCGTGACCCAAGAAACCCAACCGGTCATCCTCCAGGTTCAACAGCATCAGGAGCAACTACAGTTCAACATACCCCGTTTTCCACTTATTTTGGGACTTTCCTGGCTCCGAACCCATACCGCAGGGAGGGGGGCGATAACTTCCTCAATGGCTCAAGGGGGCATTTCTTTCAAAAACGTTAAGAACCACTACACTACACCATGCTGTTTCTCCTATGCAAATTATATAACTTAATTGAAAACAACACCTCTTTGTCTCCTTCCTAGCTAGAAGACAAGGACTATTGTGAGGATTCGAAAATCTCTCTCAAGGTTCGAAAATCCCTCTCAACTCCCATGGAGTTGAGATGGTTTAAATCTGTAAGGATGAGGAATTCAGGAAGAATCTTCGTATCAGTACCCTCAAACAGGGGAAAAAACTTTCCTGAAACAGAACCTGAGCTTGGACAAGTTCCTTCTAATTGGTCATACTGGCTGTAGTATTCTGGGAGTTATAGTCCAAAATAGAAACTTGCACCCAGCTGCTAAAAGTGAAAGACTCAAAGCATGTACTGTACATCAAATGTGCATTCACTCTTTGGCTACCATCCTGTCCTTCACAGATTAAAATGAAGAATTTTTTTCCAGAACATCTATGAATCCTAAAGAAAGAGAATGCCAGGATTAAAATGTGGAGAGAAAAAACTTTGTTCCCCTCAACATGTTGTATGGAAGATCTGATATTAACTGTTTTGAATGCTCTTCATATTTCCTGTTACTAGGCAAAAACTATGTGATATATTTATTAATTTTACTGTGGTGCCTCTGATGTGACCAAAGAAATACGATTTTGACTCTCTGAGTGGTTATCTCAAGAACAAAAACTATAACTTGTTAGTTGTGATGTAGCCTGGAAACAAAGAAACAAACAAAAAACTACAAAAAGGGCTTGGATATCACCTATAAGCTCTCCTAACCATTATCTGAGGTTGCTTCCAGATGAGGTTTTAATTGTGCAATTAGTCTGACTCAGCAATGGAATTTTTCTAAGGAGAGGCCTGATGCAATCTTTTTTCCATTTGCAACTGTCTTGCATTTCTCTCTACAGTGGTGCCTCGCATAGCGATCACTCCGTATAGCGACGAAATCGCTTTGCGATGGACTTTTTGCCATCGCCAAAGCAATCGCTTTGCGATGGTCTCTATGGGGGAAATTCACTTTGCGATGACCGCAGGGAAACGATCATCGCAAAGCCCCCATTTTCGGCCAGCTGATCGGTGGTTTCAAAATGGCCGCCAGGTAAACAAAATGGCCGCCTGCTGTTTTCAGGCACGGATACCTCGCTTTAGAGGCACCAAAAATGGCGACACTATGGAGATCTTCGCTTAAAGGTGAGTTTTTAGGCCATAGGAATGCATTAATTGCGTTTTAATGCGTTTCTATGCGCTTTTTATTTTCGCTTAGCGATGTTATCGCTTAGCAGCGATTTTTCTGCACGGATTAACATCGCTAAGCGAGGCACCCATGTATTTCTATCATCTTTTTTTCTTCACATACACATGCACACACTTTCCATCAGGCCAGATTACATTATGTCCATGTGAAACCTGCAGTAGATCCTAAGATGAATGCTTTTGTCAGGGCTCCAGACAGCCTTCAACAGGACTCCTGTAGCATTATCCAGGCTGTTGAGGGCAGGGAAACTTGGGGAAAGGGATAAGAATTTTTTTTTTATCCTGTTGAACTACTCCTGCTTTCGTACATAAATTATGTATTACTGTATAGCACATAGAAAAAAGAGTATGTGTCGGAAGCTTTGGAGAGTGGGAAAAGGTATCTCTTTCCTCCTTCCTGAAAAATAGGAAACTGCTATTATAAAGAGCCTACCTCTCTCTCTAGGGAACCCACCAACAGATGACTAAGATTTTCATGCAAGTCAATACACTTCTCAAAGTTAGTGGAAAAGTCAGAGTGGGGAAAAATACATTCCTAGTTAGTGTGGGTAGCATTATTTTTAAAACTCAAACCATATATTTGCTCAGCTACATTGACTCCTCCAGAATGTGTAGAGCAATTAGCTCCTGTTCAGATCCAGTCCTTCATTTTCATAGGCTGCAACAATTATTATGCGTCTCACCAACTTTCAACCACAGACTTAACTAATAGACTAGCCCTCTTCCACTGGATGTGCAGTTTCGGGAAGGATGTACATGGCATGGTGAGGGAAGAAGGGAACACCAACAAGAATAGGCTAGCACACTGCCCAAATTTAAGTTTAGCTGTGGTTTAATCTGGTGATTTTTCCTCTCTTGGAGAAAGTAAAAGCTGCTTGTGGAAGTTGCTAACAAATCCAGGATTGTTTTGATTGGGCAGCAGAGTGTCTATAGGCTGGGTAATTTTTGGTGGGTTTTTTAAATTTAATTTTATTTTTTTGTCCTCTCACTTTATAAACTTCTATATATCTGCTTATCTAGGGAGCCCCACAAGTATGTGGAAACTATTGTCTTTCTTTTGGATGGCCTCTTCGCTTTCAAACCAATACAGTAGGTGCTGAATCACATGATCATTCAACCACAGGGAGTGATAAGCACATACAATCATGGCCAGAAATATTGGCACCCTTGCAATTCTGTCAGAAAATGAAGGGGCGGAGTGATGGCAGCAAGAGCAGGAGGAATTCCAGGGCTCTGGGGAACTCTGTGTAAACTCTGGGTCAGCAGACCCCCCAGCAATGGAGGGGGGGGCAACATCTACAGGGAAGTGATCTTGCAGCGAAGAACAGCTGGAAAAACTCTGGAATTCAGACAGCAATATGTCTTCTTGAGAGTTTTCCTTTCTCAAAGCATCTGGCCCAGGAGACAACATTTCAGGTGAATTAGCTGCCTAACTTTGCCAAGGTGGGAAGTATGAAGAAGATTCTTGCTCACATGAACTGTAACTGGCCTTTTATTTAGCATCAGCAAGTACAGATCCAACTCAAGCTACTGACTTAAAAGCAGAGAAGAAATAAAAGCTGCGGAGGAGCAATAAAGAGAACAACAACAAAAACAAACAAACTAGAAGCCAGCTAAATTGGGGTAATTAAGATATAAATTAGTTGTTACTCAAGCTCTCCTTGAAATCAAATGGAGAACTCTATTTTCTAAATGGTTTTGTTGGCGTATCCCTGAAACATCAGCCAATTTTTAACTGTGTCGCACTTGAAAGAGAAACTAAAGTTAAAAGACATGGACTGAGCTCACTTTCTCATCCCCCTGTCCTCCCTTGATGGTATAGACTATTATACCAGAATACTAGAGGCTTAAGAAGACTGGAGTTCTTAAAGAGAGTGTTTAACAGAGGTACTTGAGAAGAATTCTGGGTGTTGATAGACAAAAAGGGGGACCCCCCCCCAAGTGGCCTTGCTCTGAGCTGCAAATGGTGGATTATAAATTAAAACTGTCCCTGGCTGAAGTTGGATTTACAATTGGATGTGTTAAATGGGAGTTTGGGTCTGGACTGACTGATTTAACACGAAGAAGGACTGATTATTGGTTTTACTGTTTTATGACTCCTAACTGAATTTGGAATACGGGAAGAGGGGGGAAATGGACTTGGTGGATGTGGCACGAATTGGAGAGAAAACAGAAGTAGAGTCGGCCCTGCTGGATTATAAGAAGCAGTATCAAAATATCTGAACTTTCTAAAAGCTGGATTCTTTTACTTTTCAGTGGAAAGTCTTATTCTACAATAAATCTATATCGAAGAAGTAGATATGACAGCTTTTAGTCAATGTACAAGTACATCAAAATTAATAATGCAAGATTCTTTTAAGAAGTATATACAGGAGATTTAGAGGAAGATTGTCAATCAATTTAAGGATCAGATTAAAACCTAGACACTCAAAATTAAGGCAGTAACTTCAGGAGTTAAAGAGGATGTGGAAAGGAATGTGCAGAAGGGAGACCATTTCACCAGAGCAGTGGGAGCAGCAGAAAGAGACTTTAGAATCAAGATCGAAGGAAGATAAAATAATGGGTTTTTATGAGGGGAAGGCCCAGGTAGATGAGTTGTGGATTTATACTAATGAGAAGATTACTCGAAAATGTATATTTGTTTGTTAGAAGAGAATATAGAAAAGGAAAGGGTGAAGGCAGCAATGATAGAAGGGGTACAAATCAGTAAATGTGAGAGAAAATGTTTTAAAGATGTTCTATAGATGGCACTTCAAAACTGGCAAAAAGGGTGTTAGAGATTTATCCAGGTCAAAATATTCTCAGCAACGTTGGACTTTCTTCTGTATAGGTGGATGGATAAATGACAGAGTAAAATGATTTTGGAGATAGATAAAATGTGTCATATAAGAAATCATATAAGTATATATAATCTTGAAATTAGAAATACTCTTGTTGAATACAATATCAGAAATTATTGATTTGGAAGATATATATGTGTGTGTGTGTGTGTGGTTATAAATATTTAGAGTTATAAGGTTGATCTGGATTAAAATGAGATAGCTTGTTATAGATATTATCTGAGAATTTGAGAAGTTATGTTAAAGAAAACTGAAATTTTTTTTGATTGAGCCCAGAAATAAGTATGAGTAGAGAATATAACATAGGTTAAAGATTTTAGTACTGTAACAGAGTTATGTAGTCAATATTACATATTAGATATTGTACTATGGTAAACACTTCAAACTAGAAATGCTCTTGCTGAATATAATACAGTGGTGCCTCGCTTGACTAGGATAATCCATTCCAGTGAAATCTCTGTAGAGCGAAATCCTTGCCAAGCAAAATTAAAAAACCCATTGAAATGCATCGAAAACCGGTTCAATGCGTTCCAGTGGACGAAATACCTCAACATTCAGTGAAGATCCTCCATAGGGCGGCCATTTTCCGATGCCTGTGCAGCGAAAAATCAGTCCTGAACACAGTGGGAAGCCATTTTGAACAGCCGGCGGCCATTTTGAAAACCCGACGATCAGCTGTTTTGTTTGTTGTAATGCGAAGAATCGGTTCCCGAAGCAGGGAACCGATCGTCGTAAAGCGGATTTTGCAATAGTGGTCGCAAAAAACATCACCGTGAAGCAGATTCATCATCAAGCGGGGTAATCATTAAGCGGGGCACCATTATATTAGAAAGTATTGATTTGAAAGATATTGTATATATATTTTTAAATATTTAAAATATTTAAAAAAGAAAAGAAAAAGAAAATGCAACCCTTCTGTTAGAAAACTCTTGCAGTTCCAAATCTTTGACTCACATGTTCATTTCTTTGGTTTGTGTTGGAACAACACCTTGTCTAAATTGTAAGAAATAACTGCTTTTCAAGCATGTGATGCTCCTTTAATTTGTATTTAGACACACCTGTCGCAAGTAAGAGGTGTGGGCAATATAGTAATCACACTTGCAACCAGTTAAGATGGAGTAAAGCTGACTCAACCTTTGTGTTGTGTGTGACACTGAGCAAGGAAAAAAGAATGAAGTGTAAAGAGTTGTCTGTGGATTTGAGAGAACAAATTGTGGAAAAACATTGACAATCTCAAGGCTACAAGTCCATCTCCAGAGATCTTAATATTCCTGTGTCCACTGTGTGCAATATCATCAAGAGATTTACAGCCGATGAGGCTGTAACTAACCTGCCTGGATGTGGACGGAAGAGCAAAATTACTGAAAAATTACAACGAAGCGTTGTTTGAATGGTGGATACAGAACCCAGATTAACTTCCAAACAAATTCAAGCTGATCTGCAGACAGACAGTACAACAGTGTCAGCTCACTATCCGTCACCATCTGAATGAAAAGGGACGCTATGGTAGGAGACCCAGGAGGACACCACTACTGACACAAAGGCATAAAAAAGCAAGACTAGAATATGCCAAAACTTATGTGACAAAACCACAATCCTTCTGGGAGAACGTACTGTGGACAGATGAGACAAAAGTAGAGCTTTTCAGTCAAGGACATCATGGCACTGTTTACAGAAAAAGAAATGAGGCATTCCAAGAAAAGAACACAGTCCCTACAGTCAAACACGGTGGAGGATCAAATATATTTTGGGGTTGCTTTGCTGCTTCTGGCACTGGATGCCTTGACTGTGTGAACGGTATCATGAAATCTGATGATCACCAAAGAATTTTGGGGCGCAACGTAGTGGCCAGTGTCAGAAAGCTGCATCTCCACCAGAGGCCATGGGTCTTCCAGCAGGACAATGACCCGAAGCACACTTCAAAAAGCACTCAGAAATGGTTACAAACAAAGTGTTGGAGAGTTCTGAAATGTCCAGCAATGAGTCCAGATCTGAACCCCATAGAACACCTGTGGAGAGATCTCAGAACAGCAGTTGGGAGAAAGCATCCTTCAAATTTGAGGCTCTGGAGCAGTTTGCAAAAGAAGAGTGGTCCAAAATTCCACTAGAAAGGTGTAAGAAACTCATTCATGGTTACAGGAAACAATTGATTTCTATTATTTTTTTCCAAAGGGGGTGTTACTAAATATTAAGTTAAGGGTGCCAATAATTTTGCCCAGTGCATTTTTGGGTTTCTGTGTGGGATTGTATCAGATTTGACTTTTCTTCTCTGTTTTTTGGGTTGTTCCAATGCAAACCAAATAAATGTACATGTAAGTACCAAAATATTTGCAACTGCAATATTTTTTCTGAAAGAAGGGTTGCATTTTCTGATGGAACTGCAAGGGTGCCGATATTTTTGGCCATGGCTGTATATTCTTACACTTGTAGGAAAATCTAAATTTGTTATCATCAGATGAATTGAATTTGGTACACATGTTTGCTGAAAATGTGTCTGTACAATGAAGAAAAACCATCTGATGCCAGGAAAGGAAAGAGATAATGTGTTTGAAGTCTTCACACTGAGTTTTTAATTATTGATACTGTGAGGACCAAAGAAAAAAGTGGAAGTTTATTTTATGTAATGACAACAGAGTGAACAAAGACTCACCTTATACTCTGCTTCATCCTTTGGTTCAAAACAGCCCTTTAACTTCTTCAGTTTCAGGGTCTAGGTCAATATCATAGAAACAAGGTCTCGTAGGCAATCCTGGCATAGTGCTCATCTGTGGGAAGAATAAACTAGAAGTTATGGTCCCACAACTATAAACTGATAGCCACAATGTGCATATATACCCATGATGAAGTGAGATACCATATTGTTTTTCGTGGGCTCATAACTTCATGTGTATTGAAAAGAATCAGACCATCTGCTACTCAAATCTGTTTTGCTAAATACTTAAACACAATAATTTGTTCCACAGATTGCTTGCAGAAAACAGGTTCTGGGGGGGAAAATTCAAGACAATTGTATATAGAGTTTGGTTTGTTTAGGGTTTTTTTTTGGAAATCAGCTATACTTCAAAAAGAATAGAACAGAGGAACTAGGAAAATTAGTACTGTTTTTCCATGTATAAAATGACACTTTTCCCTAAAATAATTAAAGGAAAAATTGAGGGTCATTTTATACACGTAGTAAGGAGGGGGGAGGGATCAAAGTGCTTTGATCCCTCTTTCCCCCTCCTCTTTTTGCAAAGAAAGTAGAGGGGGAAAGCTCTTTCTTCTCAAGAAAGTGGAGAGGGAAAGAAGGAATTGCTTTCCCCCTCCACTTTCTTTGCAAAAAGCTGCTTTTCCCCTTGGAAAAAGTGGAGGGGGAAAGGAGCTTTCTGGAAAGAAAGTGGAGTAGGAAAGCACTTTCTTCCCAAGAAAGTGGAGGGGGAAAGCAGGAATCAAATCACTTTGATCCCTGCCTTCCCACTCCACTTTCTTGAAAAAAGAAATTTTGGATTAGCAAAGTGGGGGCATCTTAGACACGGAAAAATACGGTAGTGAACAAGAAGGTATTGAAGCCATCTTGGTAAATGCTGCATTAGAGCAAACCTGCTTTCAGTATTAAGTTCTTCCAGGCAACTCATTTCTGAATGCAGGTTCTCAGTGCCAAAATAGTTTAGTCCATGTGAAGTGGTAACTATACTTCACAATCACATTTTCACTATAAGACAGCTCCTCAGTTAGAAGAAACAAACTTCCATGGAAGGTCAGTTTATTCTGCCATTAAAACCCTAAAATACTTAACAATTGCCTAAAACTAATTATCTGGGCTCAGATACTGCAAAGTACTTGGTGTTGCCATCAACAAATAAAAGTAAATAAAGAATTTTATGACAAACTTTCTAGAACTTCTTAAGTTATTTCTCCATATAGGAATCCCACTGAGCAAGAGAAGTACCTAATACTTTGTGTCCATACTCCCCTATAAATGCCCCTTCCTAATTTTATTCACTCTGAAGACATGAAATTTGAAACAACAATTAAGCCCAGCTTGAGGAAATTTGGCAAATTTCCAGGAATGTTTTTGTATTTCTCTCAGTATAAAGGTTAAAGCCTGGCAAAATCTGAAGTGTGTTAATAAAATTCAGACTTATTTCTTGAAGAGCTTTAAATGTGAGGCAACTTCTGCCTTCCTTATGGAAAGAACAGTACTGTGGTAACAACAAATAAGAAAATATAGCTGCATCTACAACAAAGTCCAATCAGTTTGGCTAATACCATTACTGACTGTGTCCTATATCAAAAGGAGCAGTTGATACCTTTACTGGACCACTAAAAAAATCAAGTGGAAAGCTTCTTCAGGCTGTGCACAAGGTCTTGTACACAGTTCAGAAAAAAATGTATTAAGAGTCCCAAAAGTTGCATGGCATCGCCGTTGTTCATGTCAGGCAAGTATTCTTATGGTGAAGTGAGAAGCAGTATGCAAGTGACTTGTGGGTTGGGGAGAAACTGCACTCTAAGCACCATTTTGGAAATTATCTCCCATCTCTGGCTAACCTGTCTGTAGTTCCCAAGTTCCTCCTTTTTGCCCTTTTTGGAGATAAGAGACATTAGCCCTCCTCCAATCATCTGCCACTCACTCTATGATTTTAAGAAAATACTGTATTTTTTGCACCATAAGACTCACTTTTTCCCCACAAAACAGGGGGGTGGAAAGTCTGTGCATCTTATGGAGCGAAGAAAACAGATTATATTTTCCTGTTTTCTTCTCCTAAAAAAATTGGTGCGTCTTATGGAAAGGTGCGTCTTATAGAGCGAAAAATACGGTAATAGGCAGTGGTTCTGAGAGTTCTTTGGCCAGTTCCTTCAATAGTCTTGGATATAGTTCACTGGGCCCTGGAGAACTGAATGTGTTCAAAGTAATAAGGTATTCCTTGATGATTTCTCAATCCCAAACTGAAATACTGTCCCCTCCACCCCTATTTCACATTTAGACTGTCTTTTGGTTTAAAAATTGAGCTAAAGCAAGAACTGAGTACTTTTTTTCATCATCTGTTACTATTTTTACATCCCCGCTGAGGCATTGTTTCTTTGCTTTGTCTTTTGCTGCACATGTACCTAAATAATGCTTTTTTGTTGCTTTTAGCATCTCTTGCTAACTTGCTAACCTCAGCTCAATCTCAGTTTTTGCCTTCCTAATGCCATTCCTACAATTTTTTGCGACTTGTCTCTACTCTTCCTTTGTAGCCTTCCTTCCACTTTCTATATGTCTCCCTTTTTTGTTTTCAGGTCCTTGCTGAGCTTTTTGTGAAGCTATATTGACTTTTTTGCACTCTTCCCTCTTTTTTTCTTGTTGGAATTGTTTCTAGGGGTGCCTACCAACCATCTTAGACTTCTTGTGAAGATTAATGCCATTGAACGCTAATTATTATCCTGAGTTTAATAGAATTGGCTATCCAAAGCCTGTCCTAGCAAGTACAACTTGCAAGCTCTTTGAGCTGCGTGTAGCCAAGTCCAACAGGCTGCCAGGAGATGCTCCAATGATTATTGGCTTCAGCTCTGCTGTCAGATACAGATAGCAGCAGACACAGGTGACATCAAAGGAATGTATGACGGTATCAAGCAGGCCTTAGGTCCAATACAGAAGAAATCTGTTCCCTTGAAGTCTGCTACTGGTGTGATCATCCAGGACCGAGCACAGCAGATGGAACGCTGGGTGCAGCACTACTCTGAGCTATATTCCAGAGAGAATGTAGTAACCGAAGAAGCATTAAATAACATTGAGTGCCTGCCTGTCTTGGAAGAGCTGGACAGCGAACCAACCTTAGCAGAAATAAAAGCGGCCTTGGATTCCCTCGCCTCCAGCAAGGCACCTGGAAGGGACAACATCCCTGTTGAAGTGCTGAAATGTTGTAAGGAGATCATCACCACCGGACTGTATGAAGTCTTTTGTCTCTGCTGGAGGGAAGGTGGAGTACCACAGGACATGAAGGATGCAAACATCGTCACATTGTACAAGAACAAAGGAGACAGGGGTGACTACAATAACTACCGTGGCATCTCTCTTCTTAGCGTTGTAGGGAAGCTGCTTGCCTATGTTGTGCTGAAGAGGCTCCAGGTACTTGCAGACAGAGTCTATCCAGAATCGCAGTGTGGATTTCGAGCTAACAGATCCACCACTGACATGGTATTCTCCCTCCAAGAGTTGCAGGAGGAATGCAGGGAACAACAACAGCCACTCTTTGTGGCCTTCATAGACCTTACAAAAGCATTTGACTTGGTTAGCAGGGATGGCCTTTTTAAAATACTTCCCAAGATTGGATGTCCACCTCGTCTCCTTAACATCATCAGATCCTTCCATGAGGGAATGAAAGGCACTGTAGTTTTTGATGGCTCAACATCAGATCCCTTTGACATTCGAAGTGGAGTGAAACAGGGCTGTGTCCTCGCACCAACCCT